AAGTCAAAAGAAAAGCTTCTCTTTAAATTTAATAGTGCAGGTCCATAGGGCTTAGTGCCTGCATTCTATTGTCTGTTTAGTTTAGAATATTATTTTCAAGTGGTGGTGGGTGGGAGAGTTATCTTTGTGTACTGGAGCCATGGCGCTTTTGCAGAACTCCAACAGGAGTACATGCATGCCCATAGTCACATGCTCACTCACAACTGTAGAAGATAATGAATGATTCTTTAATACAAAAGTTAAGTACATTTAACAATCTATGGGGCATTATAAACCCCAAGGAGAAGAGAGAAGTGGTTATGCAGCGTGCTTTCATCCTGGCCACTGACTAGCACACACAGTCTGACTAATTACTTTACTTTAAAGGCAAGCCAGCTGCTTAACGAGTTGTAAAATCCAGGGAAGGATCACAGATTGAAAGAAAAAATTGAGAAACTGATTTTTAATTAAAAAATAAATTGGGTATAGTAAAATTTACTTTAAATAACCAATGTCATTTTAATAACTATCCTTCCTTTATTAATTAAAAAAAACCCACAAAATTATAAGTCACAATGGAATAATTTTTCAGAGGTCATTTTTTCCTCTCTGTTTTTATTAGGATTTAGCTTAAGACTCACAAGAAGCGAATCAAAACATGTTCATGCTTGTGTTATTTCTAGCTAATTGAGCACTTTTCTCTCATTTTCTAACTTACTGAAAATAAATTTCAAAATCTTGAGTCATACTCCTACCCTGTTTGGAAGAAAATTAAGCTAAACTGAACTCTTTCCACTGGAATTCTGAGTGAGTGTGTCCGTGCAAGGATTTAATGCAGTTTAACTAATCCAATTCAAAATTCACACCTTTAGTTAATTCAGATTAATTTTCCATGTAGACAAGTCCTAAGAAAGAGAACTGAGACAGTGAAAAAAGAGCTTCATTAGAGCTAAACAATTAGTTGTGTATTCCTCCCCCACGGGCCCTTTCTGAAAAAGGGTTGTGATTTAATGTTTTGTTCAGCTCCATTTCTAATCTGGTGCCATTGCCAGTAAAGGTTTTGATGTTCAAGCTATTTGGTTCCATCAGAATAAATACCACAGAGCTGCATTGTTTGTGAAGCTCCCGATGCAAAGGTTAAAGTCCATCTGTTGGCTGACAGAGAGGCGTCATCTCGTCATTTGTATAATCTCAGAGTTGCATTCTTGAGCAGCGGACCCCCTTTTTTTTTCCCCCTGCTTGCCTAGTTGAGATGTTACTTTCCTGACAGTAAGACAGTTGTGCTCGGTGAACAAACCGCAGCATGTTTCTCCTGCGTGCTCTCCCTCAATTATTTTCCGTAACAATTAACACTGTACTAACGTGACACCCTTTTCTCGTTTGGCTTTGTAAACCATCATCCCTTTTTCTATTAATTCCAGACATTAATATTTTCTTTCACGCAAGTGCTGCCATTCACCCATGAAACAGTTTGAACATTATGTAGCTGTCAAGATACCTAGGGATTACCCAGGATGCCTTGCCTGAGTAAGTGACACCACTGAGGCCTGCTTTTGAGATGTTTATTTTGAGAGTAAGCTGACAAGCATGAAGGCTTGATCCCGGAGTGGCAATCTTATTTAATTAAAAAGACTCTTTTTATTATAGTTTTTTCCCACTGTTTTTTTTTTTTCATACGTGTCTGTGTGTGTGTGTGTGTGTGTGTGTGTCAGTGATTGCTAAAGCCTGGCTCACTTGAACAGTGCTCTTGTACAGTAAATAGAGATATATGGGGAAGAGCTGGTCATTCAAAGGAAGGTCATTCAACAGCCTTGAAACATTTCTTTGCAATAATGGCATAAGAACTCTCGCTTAGCGATTGGAGCTTGTGTTTCCTAGAAAAAGAGGCTGGTTATGTTTTGATTTTTATTCTTGTAGATTTTTTGGCTGTTTGCTTATGTTTATTTTATTTTGTAAAGGTTCCCTTCACTCAAAGTTTCTTTTCTATTCAAGAAACAGATGAATTAGAGCTGTGGACCACCTGCTTCCACTGCTCTATTCATGTTTTCATTCCATCAGTTCCCTTCCCTTGTCCTATCTTGATATGCTACCTCTTTGGGTGTAATGAATAGTTGGGGACATTTATTTATAATAACGCAGGCTGCTTCTGCTTATCGGATAGATAAAGGCAGTGTCTCTTCTCTTGTTTTTTCTCCTTTAAGAGAATTCCAATTTTCCTCTCCTGGAATATTAACAAAAGGCTACACTAAATAATCCTATTTATTGAATTTCCTAACGCAACCTCTGTTGACGGATTTTATGTTGGATTCCATCACTGTGTTCCTTTCTGTGCAAAGCGCATGTGCTTGTTCAATATTCCTTTTCTAGCTGTGTATTTCAGAAGTAAACATAAATGATGTTTCTGATTTATAGCTTAAGGGCATGATCTAAACCCATTGAAGGCAATGAAAAATCTCACTGACTACACGTGGTTTGCGGGTTGACCCTAACTGTGGGTCTCATGGAGGATCAGGAAAAAAAACTCCTTTTAACTCCTGTGCAGCATTGTTTCTATTTCCCTCTCTCCTTCCCTAATTAAAAAAAAAAAAAAAAGAAGGGGGGGGGGGGGAAATGTTATCACTGCATAAGTAAAGAGTGTTCTCTGGGTTGCATTTGAAAGTAGATTAATTGGGGGATATTTTGTCTTTCACCAAAATGTTTTCATACTATTTATCAAGCCACTTTTTATGAAGAAGACATTCAGGACTGAATAAGATTCTATAAAAAATTACTCTAAAATCCAATCGGAATTGGTAATGAATAAGCACCCTCCTATAGGTCTTTTGATGAGTCTATATAATTTCATAGCAGGCATACAATTCTCTATTACATTGTGTTGGCTAGTTTCAAAAGATCTGCCAAATGTAGTTATGTTCATATTGAATCCCATAACAGTTTCTATAAGTGTAATTGATTAAATCTGCAGGCCTTTTTATGTATCCCATTTTATTTGTAATTCTATGTCTTTATTGTTGGTCTGTATGTTTTATAGATTCATCCTTTCTTTTGTTTGCTACTTCTCCCCCCCCCCCCAAAAGAGAAGAGTTAAGAATAACCAGTGTTTTTCCAAGATAACATGGCAGAGAGCACAAACATGATGTAGAATTCCACCCCTTCTTCCCACCAAGCCACTTTTTAGCCATGTTCAGTACAATTCTTAGGTTCTTTCTTCTCTGTTGTTTGTTCACTTTTTGTGCTTGCAGTGTTTTTCAGACTAATACCATTTGTATTGTTATTGTTTATAATAGGTTCAAGTGATCCATATGTGAAATTTAAATTGAATGGAAAAACTCTATACAAAAGTAAGGTCATCTCTAAAAACCTAAATCCAGTCTGGGATGAAACTGTTGTGTTGCCAATACAGACTCTTGATCAAAAGCTCCGGATCAAGGTAAATTTTGGGTTAGGGTTCTGAAATGTTTGGTAAAAGCTCTTTGAACCAATTGTTTTCTCTTTTGTGTGTGCTTATGTATGTGCTACATCAATTTGACATTTTGCTATAAATAACATGTATTCAAAACACAATGAGGATGCAAGGTTTTCTAAGCTTTATATTAAGAATTCACACACATCTTTGCCATCTTTTACTTGGATGTTGTGTTTTTGGTTTGTGAATGGCCCAGGTCAAAATAATCTGTTTGACTGGAGGCGTTTAAACCTACTGTACCAAATTCTGCCCTCAATTACATCTGTGTAACCTCAGTGAAATCAATGAGGTTTACGTGAAATAATTTAAGAGTGTAATTTGGTGAACTGAGTTGAGTAGAATTATTACCTGTGAGGCAGCGGTGACAAGCGGCAAAGCCCTTTCTCATTATGAGGTAACTTTATAGTTAGCAGAGCTGCAAGCTACCAGTTATAAGCACTAATTGCTAAAACATCTGTAGCTAAAAATGTGTGTGGTTGTGTACAGTGTTTGATTCCAGTACAGACTGCAAAATATAGAGGAATGGTCACAATCCCATTGTTGCACACACAACTCTGTTCACTATTTGCCAAGAAGGCAAAACATGCTGTTAAAATACTCAGTTGAAAATCCATATTAAAAAGTGGAGAGTTATCCCTGACCAACATTCAGGTTTTGATTCCCAATATTCGAGATTAAACTCAAAATGTCAGTTCTTTTCTTTGATGTGGCAAAACTGGCTTGCGACGTGACGATAACATGCACTTATTTTGCAACTAGGTATATGATCGAGACTTAACTTCCTCTGACTTCATGGGATCTGCATTTGTGGTGCTTACACACCTTGAGCTCAACAGGTACAATAAGAATTTAGTAAAATGTTTCTGCACAGCACTTTTGCAGCAGATTAATCTTTTATCTGTGGTATGTTTGGTCTGAACGTGAAGCAGGGAGCCAGGAATTCATGTTTTATTCCTGGCTCTTGTACTGACTTATTGATGTCTGGGGCAAGTGCATTTTCTTGCATCATCAGCTCCATGACTCTTCTGAGTGCCTCAGAGGTAGGGAGACATTATCATTTCCATTTTCAGAGTGGGAACTAAGGCAGAGAGAGTTGAAATATTTTGTTCAGGGTGATGCAGGATATCTGCATCAGATCTTGGAACTGAACACAGATCATACAAGTCAAAGTCCAGTCTATAATTGTTGAATAATTCAGCTGGACAAGTCTTTGTCAGTTTCCTTGCCAGTAAAATGGGGATAGCATTGATCAGTGTTCTGCCTGTCTGCAGGCAAAAGTTATCAATATTAGTTAATTGTGGTGGAAATACTAACTATTAATTAAATGTGCTGAACTTTGTATGTTTTATGGAAGCTATAAGATCTTTTGACAGGGAATAGACGCCACAAAGAAATATGCCAGACTGCACATTTTTAACATTCAGACTCAATTTTGAAAACTTTAAAGTCTGCTAAATATCAGCCTAAAAAACCCAGAATTTGCCCAATTCAGTGTGACCTTCAATAATGAACCACAAGCTAAAAATGGAACCTCTCTTTTCTCCTTGCAGAACTACTGAACAGATTTTGAAATTGGAAGATCCGAACAGTTTAGAAGACGACATGGGAGAGATTGTGTTAAACTTGAGTCTAACAGTCAAGCACGGAGACTTCAAGAGAACTGTAAGTGGCTTAGGAAATCAAATTTATAGCTGGAATGCACAAAAAAATAAAGCTTCCCTAATCTGATTTATTCTGTGCTGGGAAATGCCACTTTTATTTTCATCCTCTGAGACTCAGCATTGAAAACTTGATATTTCATGATTTAAAAATCAACCAGATTGGACTAGATAAAAGTTGCTTATTCTTCAAGTGCTTCTGTTCTGTGGCTTTAAAGGTTGAGCTTATGAATGAGAACAGTCTCCATATAGTTCTAGGAATGTGTGTGCATGTATAAGAGACAGATCTCTAAAAGTGTAGCACTTACTAAGTGAACGTATGCCCTGCAGAATTCAGGACTACTCTTTCAGGAAATACCATTTTTTCACTGTAAGCAAGGAGTTTAAACTTCGATTTTTGTTTAAAGGTGTGTTCTCCACATTAAACTGGGGTTTGAGAGAAATGGGCATGAGGAGCTATGTTCTTGACAAACTGGGAACATGTCAGGCACAGTCTTAAATTTCGCTAGTGTCTCCAGTGACTCACTTGGGCTTTGGGTCTCATTCCTGTTGCAGAAGTGCCATGGGCCTCTAGTATTGAACGTGGTGATAGGAACCCAGAAGGAGTTGGTAGAGGCTGCAAAGAGTGTAATTAAAGTGAGTCAGGACTTTCAGGATCAGGATTTGTGTGACTACTTTTTTTTTTTTTTTTTTTAAATATCACCATTTGTGCTTCACTCAAAACATGAACCATGCCTAAGTCTGTAACTCAGCTTGCTGTCATTTAGGGAACAGCTTGACGGGGAAAAATCCCCAAAGTGTATTATTTGAATAGCTTCAGTTTTTAAGCATGTGCAGTTTTAAACATGGAACTAGTAGTAAGTGTTGCAGGCAAAAAAATGGCAAGTGTTTATGTGAATATGAAATATGACAGTTTTATTTTTTTCAGAATTCAGTCTGAAAGCTGAAATCTAATGTAGGCTGTTAAACTAGACACATGGGAATTCACAATAGGCATGGGACACTCATGCAAGGGAGAATGATGATATGGGGAGAGTATAAGAAATAGACTTCACAAGAAGATGGTATGGGGAGAATATAGGAAATAGACTTCACAGGTGAGGTCTGCCTTTCATTATGGTTCCTTTCTAGTAGATGCCTGTTTTTAAGAGTTGTTAGTTTATTAGGTAATAGAATAGTGTGTTGTTGGAAAGGTTTATTTCTCATTCTGCATAGGATTATTTAAAACCTTTAGCAATACCTAATAATAATAATAACAACTAATTGTTCCAAAGCTCTTTATTTGTGTTGTGGTGATCCCACCTAACATTATATATGCTATAAGAAGATAGCTTTTCATATAAAAATAAAGACTGAATTGCCTGATCTTAACGATAAGAAAGCAAGATATTTTGTACACATGGCTGCTAATGTTTCTACCTTTCTAGTCATTAATGAGAAACTTTCTGTGTCAAAGTCCTCTAATAAACCCTGACCGCTTACCTTGAAATCTTGGCTAGACTTACTAATGTAAGTCTATTTGGCTGGGAGGCCAACTCCCCCATTAACTTATACAAAGCAAGGAATGGCAGCCTTAGGGGGTGAGATAGAGGTGCATGTTCCACTGGAGAGCTTCTGGAGGCATTTGGGAACAGTTCCTCTGGTAACATTAAGGGGAGATAGGCCAGAGTGCTACTGGGGGCTTTGGGATAAGAGAGGATGCAGCATTAGTTCTGAGTAGCAGCCTTAGGGATGCGGGGCCGGTGGGAGTGGAGGAGGAGTTGAGGGGTGTTAATAGTCAGAATACAGATGCCCGAAGAGTAGGTGCATTCTGAAAATTTAAGTGACCATATTTTAGACCTTTGTGTTTCAAATTAAAATAGCACAGCCATTTTCAATAGACTCAGAAGAGCAAAATGGCCTGGTCCATATTATGCACTTAAGAGCAAGCTGATTTCCAAACTCCTCCCCCCCCCCTTAAATTAGTTTAGTAGGACCAGATGGCACCAGAAGTGTGAACAATGCATTTTACTAATGGCTCCAGGTCTCCTCCACTTTTTATTCTTGATGCTTTGTTTCCTTTTATTTCTGGTGCAATTCAGGTGTTTGGTTTTGTTGCTTGTTATGATCTGCGAAGGAAATAGTTTAATTGAATGCAGTAGTAGATCCAACTCTGTACTAGTAATATGCCTTCCTTACCACAGTTTACAAACCAGTGTTCTTAATTATCTGGCTAACCACTTTCCCTGTTTTCCTCCCTTTCCTTTGGATTTTCTCTGTTACAATGGTGGGCACGCATGGATAGAAGTGGTCAAATCGGAAGAAACGAACTTCATCCAAGGTAACTTCATCCCTTTTCCCCTGTAAGTTTCTTGTTCCCTTTCTCCCACAAGACACATCTTATGTGACATTTCTGTTACTGCAGAGGGTTTCCCTGAAGAAATGGACAGGTATTCTGGCTGCTAAAGAAATAAAATGATGCTATCAAGACGTGCATGTGCCATTACTATGTATGCACATAAACCTTTCAGTTTTGTTCATCTCTTTGGGCCTCCATTTTTTTTGTGTGCACCTACTTATTGCATCATACGTACATTGGATTTTAAACTGTTCAGGAAAGGGACTGGCATGATAAGCCAGCTGTATAAAGGACCCAAAATGCTTCTGCGTAGATGATAGAAACTTAAGATCTGATGCTGATATCCCGTATTTTGAGAGCTTACAACATAACTTTAGAAAAACCTAATTTGGCCCTTTTAAGAATGCATAACATCTGGGAGTTTCCTCAAGAAGCTATTTGTGCATATATTAAATGAATAATTACTTTTCCCTTCAGCGCATGGTAGGTAGAATCCACCAGGTATAATACCACCAGAATACTTTTTTAAAGAGAGGCCATGCAGTGCACATTCCTGGGCACAGGTCTGCAGCTATTTTGGCATACCCAACCCATTCCAGGAATAATGCTGGCTTTCCACAGCTGTATTCATACTGCAGGGATACAGCCAGAAATTGCTCAATGGAATATGACAGAAAGTGATGGAATAATTGAAGTGCTCAACAGTTTAGTTTTTAACGAAAGCTCTTGAAATTACTAGGGCCAACCCTTGATCAAATGTGGCTTGATCTCTTTCTGACATGTGGGCGCACACAGCTGTCACTTGAATCGCGTTGGCTTGGAGTCCCGGGCCACGGAGCCAGATATTCCAACTCTTGTCCTTTTGCTCCAAACCCATCAAAGTTCTGTGTTTCTTTTTTGTTGTACGTTATCTCTCTGTATTTTAAACACATTTTTTGAAGGGGGAAAAAAGAAGATAAAGCTTTAATTCATGTTGGCAGGTCATTCAGTTCCCAAGGCTCCAGCTAACATCTTAACAATTCTTTTTAAATAAAATTAAGAGATGACAAAGCCTGATATTGGATTAGTGCAGGCAAGATTATTGTTGCAAGAAAAAATAACTGCAACCCTTTGCTCTATTCAGTTATAGCCACTAGAGGGTAAGAGCGCTTCAGTTCTTCACAGACAAGACATAGTTCATGCTCTAGTGTGATCTCTTAAGAAAAGCTTCTGCGGCTATCCGAGGCAGTAAAGAATTTCCCAGAATGTGCTGGAAAAAAATCTGACAAAGCAATATTTCCAGGTTTATTGATTCTGCTACTGCTTTAAAACACTAGTACTGTCCATCAATAACCATCTTTAGTTAGGAAACTCTGGGCTGTGGAAACCGTACTGGCAGTTTGTGGCAGAACATAAAGGCTAGAAAGAAAAATGGTGAGCATGGGGAATATAGATATGTAGGTGAAGGCATGAGAGGTTATAGAAAAATGGCCAGAAGAGCATGATGGGGTAGAAGAAATGCAGACGGACTGGATAAAGATACCAGAAATATGGGAGGGGGGAGCATTATATAATGGATACACAAACTTAGTACTATTGTTTAGGCTTTTACACTTTGAGCAACAGTGTAAATCTGCATCACACTGATTAAATTAAATGTGTCTCAGAAATCTACATCTCTAACATGATCAGGAAAACAAATATTTTATATTAGGGGTAGCTTAACTTTTTAACAAACTGAACTAAAGTGGGATTTTATTGTACTTTTCGTATCCTGTTGTTATGCAGTATTTTCATATGTGGGTAGAAGGACTTAAAGGGGAAAAATAAGTTATATTTTTCAGTCTTTGATTTCTCGACTCCTATATATAACTGAGGAGTCCTGTGGCACCTTCTAGACTAACCGAAGTGTTGGAGCATAAGCTTTTATGGGCAAAGACCCACTTTGTCAGATGCATGTAGTGGAAATTTCCATGACTATCCCTCTGATATATATCTGAGACAATTATGGCTTATAACTGGATCTGGTCCCCTCAGTTTTATCTTGGTTTTACGTAGCAGATGTCAATGTTGCAAATGAGTCTTATTATTTTAGTCACTAGTCCATCTTGCAGGTATCCAGAAATATCCCCAAAAGGAGCAATGATTTCACTCTGGTACCAAAAACTGCTGTAGTCTCATATGCAGAGTGGAAAAATGTAAATTAAACCTGTTACCTTTTTAAATACTCTTATTTATTGCCTATCTTACTCTTTTTTTTAAAGTAAATATTACTTTTTAATGAAGAAAATAGAAGATAAAAAATTATGCAAGTGTTGGCTATGGGTATGATGTAGAGACAATCTCCACTACTGAATAGTGAATATGAAATCAGTATGGTGCAAGAGGTATCAATTTGGCAGGCTTGTTTATCAGCATATATTTATCACTGATTTTGGAGGGAAGGGTCACATTAAGTTATGTGGCATGATTACATCTCCAAAGCTAGCAAGAGATATGCACTGTATTTGGAGCCCCTTGCTTGGGATGGGAATGTGGGATGACATAGCTTTATCAAAAAAAACCAAACTTGAGTGCGGCTTGCTTCTTCGCTTCTCAAACTTACCTAATGCTGCCGAGAGAAACATGGTCCCTTTGTTTTTCGGAAGCATTCATTCTACTTTCTCCATCTGTAAAAAAACAAACAA